ACCTATGACAATAATCTCTCTGGCTCTCTAGGCCTCTATTGGCTTGATCTTTGTCTCTCTCTTGTAATGTTTTCAACCTAAAATACAAAAACCATAACAAAAAAAAAAGAAAAGAAAAGAAAAGAAAAAAAAGGAAAAAAACGCAGTGAAAAAAACGTAAGTTCTTAATTCTGTCTTTCATTTCACTATTATATTTCGGGTTTGTGATTGACATTATGTTTGAGAGTTAAATAATAGAGTATCCATGGCAGATTCCCTTAGTGAGTCCACTTCTTCTCAGCCACCTAAGAGTTAAAGTTCCATTATACCTCCTACTATGACTGGTAACCTCAACCCTGGCCTTAAGATCACTACCTCTCTATTCAATGGTCAGAATTATCTAGCCTGGTCGAAAAGTCTGACTATTTTTTTGAAGAGCAGAGGAAAGATGAAGTATGTCGATGGAAGGATACAGGCACCCAGTACCACAGATCCTAGTTATGACCAGTGGTAGATCACCAACTCCCTAATCATGGGTTGGTTGATACATTCTATGGTACTTGAGATTGGAGAGGGCTACTTGTCTATGGACACTGTCCAAGATATTTGGGAGGCTGTAGCTACTACTTACTCTAGGAAGGGGAGCTTCTTACAGGTTTTCGAGCTATGTCGCTCTATTGAAAGGTCGGTACAAGGTGCGATGACTATCCTCCTGTATTTTACCTTCCTTAGCAATGGGTGGAAACGGCTTAATCACCTTCAGGATTACAAGCCTGTCTATCTCACTGATTCTGCTGGTTACCAGAAGTTTATGGTGCAAGAGTAGGTCTTTAAGTTCTTAGAAGGCCTAAATATGGAGTATGATCCGGTTCAGACCAGAGTACGTGGCATTGATGTGCTTCCTTCTCTCTAAGAAGCCTTTGCTTTTGTAAAAAATGAGGAGAGTCGCCGCTCTGCGATGCTTCCTTCTACTACTGCTGATCACTCGGCCTTGGTTTCTGCACCCCCTCGCAATACTCATGGCTCTCGTCTTTCCTCTGAGAAAGATAATCTTTTCTGTGACTACTGCCGTAGACCTCGACACACACGATAGACTTCTTGGAAGCTGCATGGGACTCCCTCTGGTAGCCAAGGAGACTGTCTTGATACTCGAGGGGGTAGGTCTAGTCAATCTAAAGGCCGAGGGGCCAATGCTCAGGCACATCTTTCAGACACTGTTGAGCTACTATCCTTATCTCTAGTTGTCTCCCTTGTTGCTGATGTTTCGAGGTTATCTGCCTCGAATTTATGATTGCTCTTCACCACTTGCTAGACCGTCGAGCCTCCACTTTTGCTACAAGTGAACCCTCTTCTTCCTTTGCTAATTCAGGTAACTTGGCTTCTTCTCCATGTGCATTGCTATCTCATACAATTGTACCATAGATCATTGATTCTGGAGCTTCTAACCATATGTCTGGCTCCTCTAATTTATTCTCAGAGTATAACCCCTCATCAGGTCAGGAAAAAGTGCTTATTCCTAATGGTACTATTTTCTCTATGTCAGGGAATGGTTTAATTCATGCCACCCCTTCCCCTCTGTACTCCATGTGCCCAATTTTAGTGTTAATCTTTTATCTTTGAGTCATATTACTTGTGATTTAAATTGTAGCATAACATTTTTTCCTGATCATTGTTTTTTTTAGGACCTTATTACGAGGAAGAGGATTGGCAGTGGGAGAGAGGAACGTGGTCTCTACATTCTGGACCAGACAGACAAACTGGCTCATTTATCTATCCAGTTACTATCCACCAAGGTAGACATTTGGCTGTGGCACCGTCGCTTAAGACATCCCTCATTTTTATTACTTAAGCATTTATTTCCTTCTGTTTTTAAGAAAAATAATGTGTCTGATTTTCAATGTGAGTCATGTCAACTTGGAAAACAACACCGAACCTCTTTTGCTCCGTCTATTAATAAAAGTTCAGTTCAATTTTCTTTGATTCATTCTGATGTATTTGGCCCATCCCGTTTTGTGTCTTTAAATGGTCCAAAAATGGTTTGTTACTTTCATCAATGACTGTTCCAAGGCCACTTGGCTATATCTAATGAAAGATAAAAGTGAGGTGTTTTCTATGTTTCAAAACTTTCATAAAATGGTTTGTACTCAGCTTATGGAGGTTATCCAAATTATACATCTAATAATGGGGGGAATATATCTACTCTGGTCTTGCCCATTATTTCACCACTCATGGCATTATTCGCCAAACTTCATGCACTAATACACCTCAACAAAATGGTGTTGCAGAACGAAAAAAATTGCCATATCCTTGATATGGCCCATTGTCTATCCTTTGAGATGCGGGTTCCTCGATCCTATTTGGGGGAAGCGGTTCTCACTGCCGCTTATTTGATTAATCGTCTTCCTACCCAAGTCCTTCACAAACAAATACCTCCTTAACTTTTGTTCAGATCTACCTCTTCTGGGTTCTCTATTTCTCCTAAGACCTTTGGTTATGTTTACTTTGTCCATAATCATTCACCCACTCATGGTAAATTAGATCCTAGGTCTCTTAAGTGTATTTTTCTGGGTTATTATGCAACCCAAAAGGGTTATAGGTGTTATCATCCTCCCACTCGCAAATGGTTTTTTTCCATGGGTGTCACATTTTTTGAGTCTCAGTCTTACTTTCTCACCTGCCTAGTGTCACAGTCATTCCTTTAGGGGGAGCCTCATTGTAAAGAGACTGTTCCACTACCGCCAGTGGTTGAACATATTGTGGATGATAAACTAGTAGTTGTTGTGGAAAATGAAGTAGGCAAAGTTTATGTTAGGGACAAGAATAGACAGAAAGTCACTTGGATGCAAGAGACTACTTTTTTTCTTCTACTGCCAACTTCTTCTCTGGATGAGTGTCCAGAGTCATCCTCCTCTCTTGAAAACCCAGGTAATCCTGATCCTAATGCTCCTATTCCTGAGTTTTCTGATCTTGATATTCCCATTGCTAATAGGAAGGGGGTTAGGTCATGTACTCATCATCTAATTACTAATCATGTTTCTTATTCTAATCTGTCTTCCTCATATAAAGCCTTTTTGTCTAAGATTTCTTCTGTGAGTTTACCTACCAATTTTTAGGATGCTCACTCTATTCCTGAATAAAAACATGCCATGATGGAGGAAATGAGAACTCTCAGTAAGAATGGCACTTGGGAGTTAGTGGAGTTACCTAGAGATAAAAATTCAATTAGGTGTAAGTGGGTGTACACTGTAAAACACAAAACTGATGATTCCATAGAATGGTACACACAAGACTGGTTGTTAAGGGTTTCACTTAGACTTATTGGGTAGATTACCAGGAGACATTTGCACCGGTGGCTAAGATGAACTCTGTGAGAATACTACTCTCTCTTGCAGTAAATTTGGGTTGGTCGCTTCATCAGTTTGATGTGAAGAATGCCCTCCTTCATGGAGACCTAGCATAAGAGGTCTATACAGATAGTCCCCCTAGTTTTGCAGATGTTAAGTCAAAAGGTAAAGTATGTAGGCTCTGGAAATCAGTTTGTGTGCTAAAACAATCTCCTAGGGCTTGGTTTGAAAGGTTTGCTCAAGTTATGATGAGATATGGGTTCAAGCAAAGTCAAGTTGATCACACCTTATTTGTGAAACACTCCTCACATGGTAAAATCACAGCTCTTATTGTTTATGTTGATGATATTGTTTTGACAGGGGATGATGTTGAGGAGATCCCTTGGTTGAAGCAATACTTAGCTAAGGAGTTTGAAATCAAAGACTTAGGTACGTTGAAGTATTTCTTGGGCATTGAAGTAGCTAGGTCCAAGGATGGTATTTTCATATGTCAGAGAAAGTATGTACTTGACTTGCTAAAGGAAACTAGTATGCTTGGAGGTAAACCATGTGATACACCTCTAAAACTAGGCTAGAAATTGAGAATCAAGAGGGAGAGCCAGTGGACTGGGGGAGATATTAGAGACTAGTGGGTAAGCTTGTATACTTACCTCACTCACGTCCAAACATTGCCATTGTAGTGAGCATGGTTAGCCAGTTTACACATGCTTCTAGAACTTCTCACTTAGAGGTCATTATGAGAATCCTGAGGTACCTGAAGTCTTTTCCTGGAAAGGATCTCTATTTCTCAAAACATGGACATCTCGGTGTGGGGACATTTACTGATACGGATTGGGCTGGATCAGTTACTGGCAGACGGTCAACTTCTAGATATTGCACATTTGTTAAAGGCAACCTAGTCGCATGGCAAAGTAGGAAATAGAATGTGGTTGCTAGATCTAGTCCTGAGGTTGAATTCAGGGCTATGGCTCAAAGTGTAGGTGAGTTATTATGGGTTCGACTATTGTTGGAAGACTTGGGGATCCATCAGACCGATTCCATGAGGTTGTACTATGACAACGAGGCGGCAATCATCATAGCTCATAATCTAGTTCAACATGACAGAACCAAGCATGTGGAGATTGATACACACTTCATCAAGGAAAACCTCCTAGTGGCACCATATGTACTCTATTTGTGATGACTAGGGGACCAACTAGTAGATGTTCTCACCAAAGGAATAGTGAGCAAACCATTTTATAACATTCTCAACAAGCTGGGCACGAGAAATATCTTCGCACCAGCTTGAGGGAGAGTGTTAGAATAAGAAATTATATTCACATATTTTATTCTGATTTGATGTAATAGGCTACAATGAGCTGGCCCATAATTCATGCCTTATGGCACTCCTATAATTATGCTTTATTCTGAATATAAAAAGGGATGAGGTTTCACTCATTCCCTAACTCTTTCTCTTTTCTAAAATCTTTAGTTGTAGCTTTTTCCTTTTCAATACTAAAGAAATAGTCTTTTTGTGGAGTGGTTTGGTCAATTCGTTGCCATAGTTACCCTACCAAGTTAGTGTTAATTCGATCGTGATGGTTGATAAACAGAGTCCCAATAGAAACCCAAACTACATGTAGGGCACAAACGACAATAAAAGAAAAGATCCCAATAGAAACTAATGCAAACAATTCTTCAAATCTTGCCATTAGTATCTTCAGTAGTCACGAGCTGCAATTGTTGCTTGGTTTTCTCACTGTTCTTCTCTATATTCCATTTGGCTGGTTCGTTTATAATTGCCATTTTCTTGTACTTGAAGTAAAGCACAAGCTGAACAATGCCTAAAGGGCTGCCAACCAGTTTGGGAGACTGCAAATTAAATATGTTCAAATTAAAGTCAAAAAATCAAATCTTGAAGTAATATGAAACTAACTATTTTAACTCCTATGTGTTATGACAAAATTAAGGTTTAATTATCACACAACCCACGAGTAAAAGATCATGGCTCAGTAGTCTATAGGCCATCCATAGCAAACTTGCTAGGAATGAGAAAAATGATAAGTAGAATGGCATAAATTCAACGCTCTTTATTCGTATTACTTGCTTTGGCCGATCATATTAATGTGTTAATAACAATGAAAACTTCTATCGGCCGATCCTTTGCTATAAAACATAAATAAATAAATGAATAAATAAATAAAGTAAATAAAAAAGTGGTTAAAGATAGAGCGAGCTTGCATGCAAATTTGACATCTCATGCATGCACGTATTATAATATACATGACAAGCTTATGACTAAATATAACTGTTTTGCATGTTGCCAAAATAGGACGTCATTTACATTTGAAAAAAGACAAGTATGAACATGATGGTGGAAATTAGAGAAACTCACCACAACTACCAGAGGAGAATCGTACATTACTACAGAGGCTACGAGTCCAATAGTCCCAACAAATACCTTGCGATTGTGGTGATCACGGAATGCAAAAGTTGAAATTGTTGGCGTGATGCAGAAAATTAGGATAACAGGTATTGTTATCATTGTAACCTTCTTCTGCGCCATTTTGATGTAAATGTTGATATCCTTTTCATAGAAATATGTGCAAAGTAACCAATTATCTTTCAACAACAAAGAACTTAATATTTATATGTATAAATGTCTATCCAAATGCAAACTAGTGCATGCATTTTTATCGTTGTAAATCCATTTAAACACACATATTCAAATAATAAACAAATGAAAATTCTCAAGCGTGCAATCATGTTCTGATGTTCTAGAGAAATGATAAAGTAATAGAGAAGTAGCTTGCCTTTCCTATAGTTGAAGCAAACCAAAAATATATGAGAATGAAGGAGAGCTCAAGAAGAAGGCCTAAGCTATTAATGGTGATCAAAGGGAAATTTTCCCAACTGTAGCTTACAATAGGCAAGCCATACCAAGTGTAAAGGAAACAATTCAACAGTGCAATGATATATGGAACACAAGAATACTCCTCGGTGCTTTTCTTTTTTATGACCCTCGAAAAAGTTAATCTAGGAAGAGCAAAAAATATATGATTAGTGTTAAATTATCACAGTTAAATGGTTCGAAGTAGAATGAAATAGTATAGAATAACCAGTGCAGTAGAACTTGATTACATGGGTGCAGTGTAAAGCAACATAGAAGCTACATTCCCTACAAGAAACACCATGAAGCTTTGGTAGTTAGGAATTAAATATTTAGCCATGAATCTCAAGGAATATACAAAGTGCCATACAAGTACCCATTACTCCGACTGCTGGACGAAGCCTATCTCCCATGCTTTTTCTCCAAGAAATGGATTTGATTAGAACAAATTAAGTATTAGATGTACTATTAGGAAACCTTTGGGTATGGTATAAATAATGTGGAGATGGATAGGAAGTGAATAATATAAAATTGAAAGGAGAGAAATAAAGTGCTATCTACGTATTGATGAATTTGCGGAAGAAAATAAGTTGGCCCTAATGTTGGGTACTTGTTCGAATTTGTTTAATGCAATTGTGCACCATCTAAATCTAGTTAGGTTTTGAAAATAAGCAATAGGAATACAAGAAAAATTTATTTGCTGTCATGGTTCTCTTGTGAGTGGAATATGTCATAAGACTTTCACTATCCACTTGATGTAAATCTTTGAGATTTGCTCAAGGTCTTGTTTCTAACCCCAAAACTGATACGAATGCTGACGAAATAAATGAATAAGTTCACTGGTATCAATCAACACATTAGCAATAGAATTGAACAACAAAAAGTTACCTCTTATAACCAAGGGTGTTGGCAATTGATCTGCAGTGGTAACATCATACACACGTCCTGTGGGTCTCTGCTCTACCTATTCACCCCTCAGAGCATAGGTCTGCTACATAAATTGAGCCGAAGAGGCTCCTTGATTGGCCCTTGAGGTCTGTGCTGAATGGATAGGTTGATGGCTCTGTGTCTATCTCGAACCAGACGCACTAGATGTGCCACATGCCTGAGGGTAAAACATCCTTAAGTGCCCTGACTGGCCAACTGCCCTCTTCCCTAACTCTGGCTCTGAGGATGAACCGACGGCGGTGCAGACTATTGCCCCCTCCTCTCTGCGGGCAAATTGAAGACTTGTGGCCTAACTGACCACACTTGAAACAAGTGATTCCACCCTAACTACCACTTCCTGAACCAAAACTCGGTACAGGAAAAGTGAATCTAAACTGTGCTGCCTAGGATCGTTGTGGCATGGAACCCCTCCGCCATTTGTTGTCTCGAGTCTCCCCTTGAACCTTCTAACTCCTTTACCTAGAGCCCCTCATCCGTTCCTCCTCTGCTTGGATCACTATATCTAGGTGAGTTGACGCCTCCACAAGGTAACCCTAATCCCTAATCATAGACCAGGCCACCTTGAAAAGGAGCCCGGTCCTCAACCTCTTCTCAAACTTGACGCAAAGGCGTTTCTTTGATGCCAAAAGTTCCGATGTAAATTTAGAGAGGCTAGTAAAAGTAGCCTAAAACTCACGTACAAGTGTGTTTAGCTGCTTGAGTTTCAACAACTGATCTCTCAACTTCTCTCTAGCAGTAGGACACAAAAACTTATCCTGGAAGGCATTAACAAAGGCCTCCCAATGCACCCTCGCGCATACTTCCACCATTGACTAGCATCTCCATTCAACTGGAAAGATGCCAAGGTCACCCTCAAACCATTGTCCTCGATGCCAAGCATCTTGAACGTTTTCAACATCTGCTCAAGCCACCCATCTGCCTTCAGTGGTTCTTTCAGATCTCCCAAAAACTCATCTGGATTCAATCGGAAGAACTTCCTCTTCAGAAAAGACGGCCCTGTCTCAGCAACATAGGCCTGTACTTGACTCTCAACTTTGAGAATGTCCATGGATTCTCGCAAGGCTCCAGCCATTTCACCGGCCAAAGTGCCCATAGCTTGCTAACCTGCTGGTTTGCCCACGTTGGCCTGACCAACTCCTTCCTCTTGTGCTGGAATATCATCTAGTAACGGCACCTCCTGCCGCCTAGGCCTACCACATCTACCACCACCATGTCTACATCGTGACATCCTAATAAAGGTGACACAACAAAATAACACATCTACAAATGTACCAAAGCTAATTCACTAACGTCTTAATACAGTGGACAACAAATAATTCACTCCACATAAGCACCTAATCACGTTAACACATATGAAATTCCTTTCTAGATAATGATCGTCCCGCGACATTGCTAGAGTTCTAGTTAGAAATAGTAGTGATCAAGTACTCTTCAAACAGGACTTCCAGAAACTAGTAGACCCAATCAATATCTTAGAAATTAAATCTCATACTCGTTTTGTCACATAAGCATGTTATCACATAGCATACCAAGTCTACTTCTAATATCATCTAGCGAGATAACTAATTGTGGTAAAAACCATATCCCACAATCCCAAGTATTCAAACTCGGTAGCTCTGATACCAAGTTGTAACGCCCCCAAAAAAAATAACAATAGCCCATCTCATAATATTCCTTACAAATGATTAATAATTTTATATTCTATTTATAATCTTAATTATACAAAAGATAACATATGTGTGTATACATTCATAAATCCTAGATTCTGAATCTATAGCATATGACATAGATACATGAATTAAAATAAAAGTAAAATCAAATAATTATATGCCCTAATAGCTACATCTTTCCGAGTCGATACTTGGGTATATCAAAATGAGTTTAACTCTATACAATTAAAGCCCAAGGCTTGTACTAAAATAATTACATCAAATAACAAAATGAAGCCCTTGGCTCCAAATACTCCCAAGCTATATCCTTGGTGGAGGCATATCATCAGTGCCTGGAAGTTGTTTTCCACATTGGGTGAGGGGAAGCCCGGTAGAGATACTTTAATACAATATATGAATTTTAACGAAGTCATAAGATGAATGCATATACATGCCATTTGTTAGACATTTCACATTTCCATCTCAAAACCATGCAATGTCAGATTATATATTAATTCATGAAAGTAACCTTTTATATCAGAAAACATGGCAGTGGATACAAAATACTGGGAATATCTAGGTACATGTCTGCCAGTAGGCTATACAAGTATTACCAAAGCCATTTTACGGGTGTAACGCCCTGAAATAAATACAACCTACTCATCTCATAATAACCAATAAATAACAACATAAAGGAAATGATACGCTTTCATTAATCAAAGTTTGATATACAAAAGGTGATGCATGCAATACACATTCATAAATGGTACATCCTGAATCTATAGCATATATTACAAGATTGAGAAAGAAATGAAAGCTAAACATATAATCATATGCCCTAAAGGCTTACAACTTTTCAAGACTATACTTGGTTACATCAAAGTGGATTTAAATCCAATACATATAAAGCCCTAGGCTTGTACAAAATAATAACAAGTAAACAAAATAAAGCCTTTGCTCCAATCCTCCCAAGCTACTGCCTTGGCGAAGGCATCTCCTCAGCACTTGAAAATGGTTTTCCCATATAGGGTGAGCCAAAACTTAGTAGAAATAATCCAACACAATATATGAATCTTAACAAAGATATAAGGTTTTATGCACATGTAGTGCCCATATCAAAATGTTTTACATTATCTTTCCAAAAGCAATGCCATGCTCAGTCTATATCACAATTCTCAAGTCATGCTCTTTATAATAGAAAATAAGGAGGAAAGTCTAAAACCAGTACAACCTTTCACGGATATTTCGTCTACGGAAAACCGTCAAACGGCACCCATGTAAACGTAGTTTATACAAGCACTACTATTGCCATTTTACGGATATTTCATCCGCGAGAATCGACACCCATGTATACGCGCGTTTTTCGAGACTTTCACTTTAGACACACAGGCCAACTTAATTTGGTGATACACACCTCTTTCCAACATTCACCCATTTTTTCTCAAATTCATATACATTTGCATTATACTAAATGAGTAACAATGTTCAATGCACATGGATGAGAAATTAGTTTCAATTCATCTAATCCTCATGCAATTTCTACAACAATCATAGCTATCGTCCACCGATAATCCAAAATAGATATTTCTAAACAGATATAAGATCTCCAATGCAGATAACTTTCCAAAATTCGAGATGTGAGCGATAATACGTATCCAACTCTATCATCCATATCAATAGCTATCCAATTTCAAATTTCAACATCAATTCCATTTATTTATACAAAACAAATATTTGAGACATTTAGGGCAAAACCCCATTTTCTTCCAAAATCCAATCTAAGTACCAAATCAACAATTTTACCACAACTTAACCTCATTTCCAATCTCACAACCATTTTCAATACATCTATTTGAAAATCTCTCTTTTGATTTTAAGCTAAAATCCTAGGTTTGTTTAAAATCCTCCAAAATCACAAGATTGTTTTATAAAAACAAATAGTTAAGTTAAAAATCATAAAAGAATGTAGATAATCCTTACCTCGAAGTTAGAAGACCAAGGAGAGAGTGATAACACTTCCACAACGTCGAAACCCAACTCTATTCGGATGAAAACGAAACTCTAGGTGAGCTCTACCTTTTTTCTCAGAGGAAGGAGGGTAAAGAAATCAATGGATCCAAGTGTTTTAGAAGAGAAAATGTGAGCTTTAGAGAGAGAGAGAGAGAGAGAGAGTTTCAACTTAGGGTTTTTAGAAAGTTTAGAGAGAGAAAGAGAGATATGAAAAAGTGATGTAAAAAGTGATTTTTACGGACTGATATACGCACAGGCCGTTTGAGTGTAAAAAGTGACGCTCGAGCATCTAGACACAAAAATAGTTACTGGTCGAGTGTAAGAAGTGTCGTTCAAGCGTAGAATACACTCTCCTACTAGTTTTAAAAACAGACACCTACCGCTTGAGCTCAAGAAGAGTCACTTGAGCGCGTAACCGCTCGAGCGTAGAAAACACTCTCCCAGTAGTTTTATAGACCTGCAAAAGTACTGAGAGTTCACAAAGGCCACTCGAGCGCAAGAAGTGATGCTCGAGCGTAGAAGCAAAATTCTGGACAACAAGGTTTTTGAAAAACAAGCCACCAACCTGTTCTAAATGCAACCAACACAACCTAAAAGCCAAACTCAAAGAGGTATAAGGGGAAACAAGACATAAATGACTATACAAGGCAATGAAACCTGAATCCAAAACATCAAATGGTTTAGGTCCAAAACATAATTGTTATAACTGGTACTAACCAGAAGGATCGACAACTAACCGCACGGGTTTCTAGACTTGTACCAAGGACACACAAGCCAACATAATAACCACAACTACATCCCCTAACCAGATTCACCAAGGTATTCACTCCTTGTTTTCTCAAAACAATACATTTTCAATGCTTAAGTATGAAAGGATGCTCAATGCAAGTTGTATGAGTAATTAGTTTCAATTATCCTAATCCTCATGCAATTTGTATAACAATTAAAGCTATCCTCAACCGATAGTCCAAAACAGATATTTATATGCAATAGATAATTTTCAACAAAAAATTAATCTTATCTTTTTTCAAAATTAGAGTGATCTTACATATCCAACTCCATCATCATCATCAACATCAACATCAATATCAACGTATTCATTGATCAATTCATACAAAACCTAACATCATTTCCATTCTATTTCATAGGGGTGAGCATGGTCCGGAATGGTTTAAATTTGGGTAAATCTAGGACTAATCCGTTATATACGGTTCCTGAAAAATTAGAACCAATCCAATCCGTTTAAATCGTGGAACCAATCTGAACAAATCCGTTTAAACACGGATTAGATCAGTTTAGGATCACAGATTCACATAATTAAATAACAAAAAAAATATAGAATATTTTAATTTCTAAAAAAAAGAAATCCATTGAAAAAAAAAATCAACAAAGATGAGATGAACAATCGATTTGAGAGTGTAGAGTTCATTGAATATTTCCGATCTGAGATTAAATCCACCAATCTGGTATGAAATCTACAAAAAAATAATAGAGTGTTAGAGATAAACAACTCGCCGAGAGAGAGAGAGAGAGAGAGAGGAAGTTTATTGAGTTTGAGATGAAATCCACAAATAGAGAGAGAGAGCTCAGAGAAAGAGCTCACGGAGAGATAGAGAAAGAGACCAAGCTGCGATCTGAGCTCACCGATCTGATTTGAGATGGATTATCTGAGATTAAATCACAAGAACAGAAAGAGAACTTAGTTTGAGAAAGAGAAGAGAGAGAGTTGACTGCGTTTGAGAGTGAGAACAAACCAACAAAAATAGTGACTGAGAGAGAGAGAGAGAGCTCACCGAAAGAGAGAGAAGCTACGATCTGAGCTCACCGATCTGATCTAAGATGGATTATCTGAGATGAAATCATAAGAATAGAGAGAGAACTTAGTTTGACAAAGAGAATAGAGAGAGCTGACTGTGTCTGAGAGTGAGAACAAACTAACAAAAATAGTGACCGCGAGAGAGAGAGAGAGAGAGCTCACCAAGAAAGAGAGACAAGTCGCGATCTGAGCTCACTGATCTGATTAGAGATAGATTATCTGAGATGAAATCACAAGAATAAAGAGAGAACTCAATCTAAGAAAGAAAACTGACTGCGTCTAAGAGTAAGAACAAACCAACAAAAACAATGACCGAGAAAGAGAGAGAACTCACCGAGAGAGAGAGAGAAGTAGCGATCTGAGCTCACCGATCTGATCTGAGATGGATTATCTAAAATAAAATCACAAGAATAGAGAGAGAACTCAATCTGAGAAAGAGGAGAAAGAGAGAGAGAGAGTATCGAGAGAGAGATGAGAGTATGAGAGATAGTGAGTGGCGTGTGATATGTTGAATTAAAGTCTAGCTTTTATATGAAACAAGAAATGATATTATGTAAGAGGGTATATATTATAAATATAGTCTATTTGTATACGGTCTGGATCGGTTCTAATCCGGAACCGATAAGTGGCCTACAAATTTTTAAATTTCTAATCTGGAATTGAACCATGAATTCAAAAAACCAATCCAAACCTACCTGATTGGACTAAATCGGATCGAATTACAGATTATAGATTATACGAATTCCTTGCTCAGTCCTACCATTTCACAAACCAATACCCATGATATCAGAACAAAACTTCATTTATTTTCAAAATCAATTTTAAGTAAAGAAATCCACCATTTTAACATATCTCAACCAATAACACATCCCTACAACCTTTCCCAAGAACTCATTTGAAAATCCCTCTTATACGTTTCAAACCAAACCCTAGATTTAACCCAAAATTCCCAAATCACTTGATTCTTCCAATGGACAAATAACTAAGGTAAAAATCATACCAAAGGTTGAAGAAATCCCTACCTCAAGAATAAAAGACAAGAAAGAGTAAGGGTTGAAGTTTGGCAGATTCGAAAACGATAACTTCTCCGATTAAAACGAGGCCTTTGCCGTGCTTTGCCTTTTTCTCCAAAGGGCTAGGGCAAAGAAATCAATAGATTGAGAGTATTTGGGGCTTGAATACAAGAACTAGAGAGAAAGAGAGAGAGTGTGAAGATCTAGGGTTTTTGAAATGTTTAGAGAGGGAGGAATGAAAAAGTGACTTAGAAAACCCTTTTCTCAAACTGATATGCATGCAGACCGCTCGAGCGATCACAATACTGCTTGAGCGCCAGACATAATAAGTGACACCGCTCGAACGACCAAAAATACCGCTCGAACCCATAATAAGCCCCTCCCAGAAGTTCAGACTTGCAAAATACCGCTCGAGCGCAAGAGAGACCACTTGAGCAAAGATATCTCACTTCCAGAAGTTTTGCAGACTATAAAAGACCGATCGAGCTCAAGAAAGACCACTCGAGCAAACAGGCAAAAATCTGGACAATAACTCTTTTAAAAAACTAACTGAGAACATGTTTCAAACACAACCATTACTCCAAAATAGCCAATCTCAACTAGCAACAAGATGAAAATGAAAATGAAATGAATAATAGTTAAGGACATGAATTCCCAGATCTAAGAGCATGAAATAGGTCAGGTCAAAACCGAAACTGTTATAGAACCCCTTAACCACTAGATTACCTGTACAAATTTCTACTTCAGTTAGTCATCGAGTGCATGTGTAGAAAATGGAAAATTTCAAGTCTGCTGTTTTCTCCCCACTTTTCCAGTTTGAGTGCTGTCATTGTGATTAGGATCCAAGAAAACAAAAAGATGCATAAAAGAGAAAATTGATACCAATGATAACAAATATACAACCGAACAATTGATGTAAGCACAATTTTGAATACCATTTCTGAACGTTTCACAGGAACAAAAGACAAGCACTTGTTTGCATTTTTGTTAAACATAAGTTGTACAAAGAAGCATCTCGTATTACATGCACCACTTTCATAAAGTGAAGTATTGAAGATTTACTGTATACACTATAGTTGTACAAAACATGTAAGGAAGGGAAGAAAAGGGCCATATTTACTTGGTGATTTATAACCTCGAGTCCCCAGTATATATATATAGTACATGGTATGTTTTTTCTGTGCATGCAGTTAAGAAGCTATGATCATTAGTATACAACAATGGCTCATCACCTGTGATGATCTGGAGAAGGAGAGGTTATATATAGATAAGAAAAGCAAACAAAGTATTTTTTATTTTTTTCTTAGAAAACATAACGACGAAGATAATCTACTCGAGCTGGATGCTTGAGCTTCATCAAAGCTTTCACTTCATGTTTCCGGACCATTTCTCTTGAAATATTCAAGTTTCCTGCAATCTCTCCCAATGTTCTATCACCCTTTCCATCAAGGCCATATCTCTGTCTGATAACCAGGCTTTCCTTGGGCTTCAGAGAATCAAGCTGGGAGATCCAGAAACAGTTCATCAATTGAATTATCCATCAAAATTGAATTCACAATAAAAAGGGAGACGACTATTTAAAGTGCTTTTGACATACATGAAAGGTACTTAATGTGAATACAACAATATCCCTTTTAATCCTGTGATTCAGCGTGCCATTCCAAGTTAAATAGATATATCCAAGGCCGGCTTAAGTCTTCACAAGGTCTAAAGCAAAATTTTATTGCGAGGCTTTTTATATTTTAAACTTAAATGTAACTAATATTTATTATTTTTAGTAAATTATATATCATGTAAAAATCATGTCTCTTCCATTCTCATGAATAAAATTTGAAAATTATTTAAAATATTTAGCTATGAAAAAAAAAATTAAAAATGCCAAAAGTTATCAAATAAATAAAACTTATAAATTTAAAGCGAAAACTAAGAATACTTTGTAACCAATTTTAAATTGGTGGAGGTCTCTTTTAAAGTGATTCTTAAGATTATACATTATAAGCTTTTTAAAGTTTATGGAACTCTTTTCAATGTGAACCTTTATTTATAAATAAAAAAAATAAAAAAATAAAGTGAAAAAAGAAATAAGAAAAAAAGTGTGCATATGACAAACATACACAAAACCGATGGACGTTTTTACCAAAATTTTAAAATTTGTATTATGCTCATGGGAGTATATTCTTTTTCTTTTTTCTTGTGTTGATTTTGTGGAGGCGTTCAACAAAGTAGACTTAATGAGAAAAAATTGAAGTGTCATACATGAAAATTTTGGCGCCTTTTTTTGCAATTGAGGCCTAAAGCCATTGCTTCAATTGCTATAGGCTTGAGCCGGCCCTGCAGATATCCCAAACAGGACCTGTGAAGATGTAATTTTGGTATTTGTTTTTGGGTTAAGGGTACGTTTGTATTTTTGTCATCTTTTATCCATTAAGGTTGTTTTCTATTTGGGTTTTGCTAAGCACTTCCAATCTCACATGATATCAGAGCAAGGCTGGTCGGAACTTGTAATCGCCGGCATTGCAAGTCGTCGTTGAAGCCTCCTTCATCGATAGTTGTATTGCACCCTCTCAAGCTGTCATCGCGAATCATAGTTGTGAACCTCTGTTAAACTTCTGCCTCTACACAACCCATTGTGAACCTCTGTCTTAGCCCATCGGCAGAAGTTTCTCTCTCTTTTATAAACAATCACCAAAAGTTCTCTCTCTTTGCAGCAATCGCAGCCCATCACTGGTCACTTGTATGCTCAGTCTTCTCTTGACAACAATTGCAGCCCACTTTCTTCACAACATATCACCTATCCGAAAGTTGTTGGTCCGATAGAAAACCCTAAGCCTAGTTATCTTCTCTAGAAGTTGTAAATTGTTGACACTCTGGCTAAAAAGCACAGGCACGGACACAACACAAGGACTTTGAAAAAATTAGGATATAGGCACAGGGGAATACATTTTTATTTTCTGTGGATATGAATATAAATTTAGTACACAGAGATATAAATGACATCAATGTATATGTAGGTGTTTTGTTTTCTATTTTTCCCTTATTATTTTTATATATTTTATTTTGACCCCAAATCAACTTTCTTAAATAATAAAAAGAATACCACAAAGGTGTCTTGGGGTGTATCCAAACACAAGACATAGGGCATAGGACATTTGTGTTTGTAAAGTCTCCCCGACATTTCTTACAAATAAATAGTAATTAAAAAAATTGACAGGCCACGTGGACACATGTCCATGGCGTGTCTGTGTTGCCGATATGTGTTGGACAATGACACGACACCCATTTTTAAGTTTCCATACTTCCTAGCACTTTGATCTCTGGCTTTCTCTGATATTATTTCACTGGTCTTTTTTGTGTACTTCATTGCATCTTGAAGTTCCATGCCATTGGAAAATTCTTTACCGTGCAACTCTCTCTCTCTCTCTCTCTCTCTCTCTCTCACGCGAGGCAATCGGCTAAATTTCTCTCTTTTCCTTAGCAGCAACTTCAGACCTGACTAGCTTTTTGACATTGTGGACATAAAAAACAGAGCATTCAATTTACTGTGTTGTCAGGTCATGGGGAAGCCAAGCCCTGTTTTACTCAGGATGAGTGTAGTTTTTGTCATCAAAAGGGACATTGAAAGAGTACATACCCTAAACTTACAAATCCGAAAGGGCATACTTCACTTGCTTTACCCCATAGTTGCCTTTACAGTCTTCTTCCGCATTTTGCCAGTAGTTCATGCTCTCTAGCAGCTCTTGGCACACCTACTTCCCACAACATCTAACCTTCCACAGTGCAGTTAATTGAGATATAGCCCATGCTCGCATCGTTTTCTGTGGCTCAGTCTCATACGCCTGCTATAAATACTATGTATTCAAGTTCGCATGTTTCTTATTCTACAAGTATCTCTCCTATGAGTGTTGCTTTTATTGGTTCTTCCCTTTTGGCTTCCTATTCCGCTTTGTCCACTCCTAATGTTTTCTATTAGTTTATAAGCTACTAGTCAACTCTTTGATTCAGGTTTTGATGTTCTTTTTTACTCTTCTTCTGGTTGATTTGTTCAAGATCGGATCAGATGTCCAAGAAGCAAATTGAGATTGACTGTAAGACTCTCGACTTACATGTGTTGGAAAGCGTGCATATTTCTGTGGAGTCTCATTCAGTAGCTATGTCTTCCTTTTGTTTAGCTCAAAATTTGAGTTTGTTTTATCTTTGGCATACTAGGTTAGGCCATTTTTCCAATGAACGATTGAAAGGATTAGTTCAATCGAATGCCTTAGGTAAAGTGTTATTTAGTGATAATTCTCGATGCAGTGAATATAAATTTAACAAAAGTACTTCTACATACCAAAAAAAAAAAAAAAGTACTTCTACTTATACTTCTTCTCCTTTTGCTATATCCATACTGATGTGTGGAGTCCTTTCCCTGTTGCTACTAAAGTTGGTTCTATGTATTATGTTTCCTTCATTGATATGATTATAGTCGATTTGGTTGGGTATATCAAGTTCTTTCTCATGTCTCAAGATTCAATGCTACTAGGTTCTAATTCTATCTGCCTTTGCAAATTGGGTGCCCACTTTACTAATCAATTTTTCTAAGAAAGAGGTGCCAGACAATCATAGTTTAGCTATTTGTCTTCCAGCTTCTTCATGATTTCATGCCGTGGCGAACAAACAAAAAAATAAAAATTACTCCTTAGCTACTAAAAGTATGCAAACAGTCAACTACTAAAGAAAGAATGCAATAAAATACCCGAGGCAAGATTCAAGAAGACAGATGATTACCACATCATCGAGCGCAAGCCTAAGAAGAGCAGGTTGTCGCCGCTTATCACCTCCAACACCATCAATATCAGTAAGCCCATTAATGAGCTCTTCTTGTGTTGTTTTGTTCCTAGCATGGAGAGAGGAGACAGGTTTTGATGCCCTCATCACTTCGTGATACCTCTCAGGAGAGATTCCAACTTTCTCTATGATCTCTTCTTCTGTTGGTAATCTTTGAAGCTCAAACACTAACTCTAGCTTGGCTCGTTGTATTTCTACTCTAACCTGCACAAAGAATGGCAATGAAGTTCTTACATGTCTCTGTTCATTGAAGGCATCCAATTACATACACCCTGACAATGACTTAGTCTCCAAACATTGAAATAGATATAATGGATTTAACCCAAAAATGGATTAATGCAATTAGGATGAAGGATTCAATTAGCACCTCCCAAACAACACATGCATTCCCCCCTTCATACAAAAAGGAAAATTTAAAAAAATATATACTTACATTTTTTGATACCTCTAACATTTTTTGACAAACTTTCCTAGCCGAATCAAGCAAATAATAGAATTCCCAACTCAAAAATGTACCAGATAATTAGTATCACAAAAAGCAAGGCATCAATTTTCAAGTCGAGAAAAGGATTTTGGCATTGGTGCTTACCTTAAAAGAAGCACATAGGGATTTATGTCAATCAACATACTACTGTAAAATAATAACAAAGAAAAAAATTCAAGATTACTAAGTAAACATACCGACTCAAGGCCAAAGGGCACTCGCGTAAAGCTTGAGAGTGTCATGGATCGTATGATGGCGTGCCTAATCCAAAACAAACCATAGGTAGAGAGCCGGAACCTCCTTTTTGGTTCAAAGCGGTCAATTGCTGTTATAAGACCCTTCACTCCTGCTTGACAGAGGTCTTGAAATTTAGGGCCATTTGCCAACTCTTGAAAGTATTTGTTTATCACAAACAAAACAAGGCGGAGATTGTGCTGCAACAACATTTAAGACTATCTATTAATATTAACTTCACATTTACCACAAAACCTTGATAAACACAACATATGATATGATTACAATTGGCTTTTAGTGAATAAGCTGAAATTAACCACTATTGATGGTAAATGCGACCAAGATGAAATTGATGGACTATTGGATCCTAGCATTAACACATGCACAGCCACAGGCACAAATGTTCCAGAATACTAATTTGTACAGTAAATCTGAGGCCACATGGAACAACTTTACCAATTCATTGGAAAATACCCAGTTTTGCCAGTTTAGGTCGATTTGGATTGAGTTTCCATCGTCACGTCACACAGGGCATATATTTTTTTTGCATAACAATGTGAAGGAAAATTGACCGTAATATATCATTATATCCATCTAACAAATCTGTATATACTAAAAAGTACTCTCTATTGTTGAAAGATCTGTAAATGCTGTTTGGCTGAATATAAGAACTTTATCAAAGTATGAACAAAAAGGGTTTTCTGTTTTAACAAATTTTTAACAAGTCAATACTAGGCAGGTGTAGGTGATTGAAACTAGTCCCATAAGAATTGCAGAAAAACTCATGACATTTGTATAACATAATGTGATGTTGGGAACCATCAACAGTACCACATTTGCATTCAACACGAAACACTAAACACGTTGAAGCATAATATCTAAATACTGCATTAATGCTTCTCTTTCTTTCTCTCTCTCTCTCTCTCTCTCTCTCTTCTTCTTTATCCTCCCTCAGTTTGATAGGCTTAAACACCAGCTTAATGTTAAAGAAACCGTTGGTACTAATTCAGTTTGTATTGAAAAAAATGAAAAGCATAGCTACCTTAATCAGCTTGCTTCTGGCAGCTCGACCAACCTCTAAGTGCTTTCTTACTTGAACTACAGTCATATTTGTTGCCTCTGCCAATTCACTATCAGTCGGTTCTCGCTCCAAATCTTGATGCAAGTTCACCTTGACTTGAAGCAGTGCCTTAATAAAATCAAGCATGAGTCAGCGTCTTTCACTAAACAAAGTCCACAATCATACTAACTAAAGAAAAAACACAACCATATTCCCAATACTAACAAAGGTGGAGGTTGTTCTTATTCTTAAAACTCACCTTCATAGGCTGCATCAACTTGAATAGCCATGAATGTTCAGAAGAAGGCAGAACTGGTGGTATCTTCATCTTCTTCCAGTCCAAGCTGACCAAGTCGGATGAAACTGAATACTCCCTAACAAGCTTATTGATTATATCTTCTTCATTCTCAGAGTCTTTCCTCTTCTGAATTGAAGAGACCATTTCATCATCCCTGCACTTCCTCAATGCAATCCTCTTATTAAAACTCAATCGTTTTGGCTTCTTACGCCTATTCCTTACTACATTATTAATAATTCTGTTCTCTGCTTTGTCCTCACCTTCCCCAATCTTCCCTCTCTGCCGCCTCCCTCTTCTTATTGCACGTTTTGTATCTTCCACGTCAGAGGTATCAGTAGTGGGACTAAGTTTATATATGTTTTCAAGTTTGGCAGCAGCTTCATTGTAATCCACTTCCAAAATACACGGTGAGACCTCATCGGTAGAGAGAGCTTTCACTCGTCTTGAAGAATTTCTAGCCACTCTTAGTCTTTTCTGGTTCTCTTTAGGTGTCTCAACAGGAATCAATATTGGCTCATCAGGTGCGACCAAAGCCCCTGTGTTCTCAGTTTTATTAACTTTAAATGCCAAAATTAATGGTTTTTTTAATGGAGATCGGTAAGATGAAAGTGCTGCACTCAATCCCAGTGGAGTCCTCGAAGCTGAGCTAGAAACAGTTACAACTCCCATGCCAAGTTATCTAAACAAAGAGTTATCAGAGGAATGAGAAATTTCTAGCCACACAAGTCCTGCAAAAGGAGAAGGTATGCATAGTTTTGGTCATAATCAAACCAAAGAAGCTTCATTTCTTTCACCCAACAATAAAATCTTGAAAATTATTGATGTGCTATTCAAGGAGGATAATTTCACCATACACAGATTATAACACGCTAAACACTTCAAGTATTTGCCTAACAAGAGATGAAAAAGAATTCAACGACGCCACTCCTCTCCTCTAATCTCAGACATAACTAGTACATATCAAAAAACAGTAAAAAACATCATCACAGTCATGCTCTGGCCAAAAACACGTTGCATGATTAAGCTATTTAAGATCATTTTCCACATCTGATTCCGCTCAAACCAAACAAATAACAAGATAATTATAATTAAATTGCTTGGAGAACCTCATAAGTAAACTCGTCAATTCATTCCATCCATTTTAATTTATATACTTTTTTCGGGAAGAAGAGAGGAGGGAGGCCATACTATACAAAACTAGTACGGCAATTGCATTCATCCATCTATTCTATCTATTCTATTACATAATATAATTATATGAGCGGTGTGAACTCCGTCACACTATTTTTTGTACCAATATTTCCCCCACAAATAATAGATTCGGTTTCACATACCTCAGGCAAACATGGAAACTAAATTTTGCATTTACTACGCAACTCAAAACAACTATTTCAATTTTCAGATTTTAAATTCAATCATTCTATTCACAACCTTATTTTGCTGGAAGAAACATGCCACCACTTCTAGTTACAAGTTTGAATGCATTTTCAACCATTACAAAAAATTACTAATCAAATGCCTTCAGAATTGCTTTGTACTTGGGATGTTTATATGCCATGAAACAAACATTAGGGACAATAACCATCACAATAATTCAATCGCTTTAAAAACCAGATCAACACAATCCAATCCTCAAACCACCAATGACTCTCTAAATTGACCAACAAACCACAGATAATTCAATTGCTTTCATCATCTGTTCATCCAATAGCCAACAATTTCAGTTTTTGCCCTCATAGTGTTGACACTGTTTTGGTTGGAAAATTTAGAATGAATGAAATCTGCTTATATTTTATTTAATTTCACATCACTTTTTCTTTTTTCTTTTCAAATTCCAAACCAAACACAATATAAATGACTTCTAAATTGAATAGATAGTCCTAAATTATTCAAAACAAAAAGACTACGGAAATTTTGATGCATAGCTTGGAAAATGTCCAGAAAAAGAACACCAAAACACATCACAAACCATAGAAATTGCAGAGAAACATCATTACCTGTTGAAATAGCACAAACTTCGACGCAAGTCGCAGAACAAGGATTTTCTCGACTGAGGAGAGAGAAAGAGAATGACAACTTCAAATACAACTCAAATTTATAATAAATATTCGAATTATGGAGTCCACAAGCCTTTTTTTCCCATATAGAAAATCGACGGCCAGAAGTACGGGTCCAGTTTAACCGACGGTTGTGAAAGCGCACACGTAGGTAGGAATGAAGTGAAGGGTGTGACGTGGCCAGTGGCAGAGCAGAGAACAATATAAGTACAAGGTATTGCGTGGCGGGTTTAGAGTGGGTGTTGAGATATCATGTGAGGAATTATGGATGATCCTTGTGACACGTGGGTGGCTGTTATTGGAAGCCCGATGTTCTAACACCTCAGTGAACTGAACTGGCTCGAGAGTCGACACCCAATTCGTTTGGTGGTCTGGGGTTACTTACGTTGCCGTACTGCAGCCATTTAAAACATATTTATTTCCAAATATATTTTTTCTTTTTTCATATATATATATTTTTTTTTAAAAAGAAGAAATTTTGTATAATTTTTAATAAAACATAATGTTACTTTTAGTGCCGTGTGTGCGGTTCAATTGGTTTGAGAGTAAAATTATAAATTAAATTGTGAATGACAGATTGGCAAATAATCAAATCATGGTTTGGGCAGTTTGGAGCGTTTTCAATTTGCTAGTTTATGGAAGAATATTTTTAAACAATTATCAACTAATTGCATAATATATAACACTAAGTTGAATAATACATTTCATATACATAATACAAACTAATTTTACATATATTTTTCATAAATAAAACTACTAATTTGTAACAAATTTCACATAAATCTCTCTCACACTCATTTTTACTTTGATATTTTATTAGAGATTCAAAAAATGTATGTATGAATAATAACAGAGTAGTTTTGAAGGCGAATATAAATTTCAAAATTTAATCCGCGGTTAGTAGATGAATCAATGAGAATTGCACAGTTTTAGCGGATTAGGTAGCATTTTCCACAGCCCTACCCTCTACCATAGTTAATACATATATACATAATATATATTTATTTATTTCCAATGTAATATAAAATTAAAAATAAATATGAGTGATTTTTGAAATGTAGAATTTGTTGCAAATTAGTGTTATGTGAAAAATCTAAAATTCCGAAGATATTGATTTGTGATTATGTATCAATTTTAAACAATAAATAACAATCACAATCAAACAATCAAAGACGAAACAACATAACGATTTAACGTGAAAAAACTACAATTGAAGCGCCTCCAATTGTGATTAAAAAAAAATCACGGGCCAAAGCCACAAAACAATCCACTAAGAAGACAAAAAAGAAATTGCACTCCAACATTGAATCCACAACGCCGATGTTGAATTATAACAATGAGCCACTCCAAAATCTACCAAAATTTTAAGCCCAAATTCCTCAAAATCCACTTAAGAACAACCCTCTCTTTTGTATTAAATAAAACAAAACAACCAAATCTTTTGATATAATTCACTCAATTCATGATATAAACTCTCACAGATATCAAAGGAAGTAACCAAAGAAGTTCCAGAAGAAAACCCTAATATCCAAGAAGAAGACCTGGAAGTCGTACCCTAAAATTAGATTGAATCGTAGATTTATAGAGACCAGGGACGCGATGCTCGCTCGAGCGAAGGAATGCTCGCTCGAGCGAGGAGACTAAAACGAGTGTTTTTCCAAGTGTCTTCGCTCGAGCACCAAAGTGTCGCTCGAGCGAAAAATGCATCTTCTCAGTATTTTTTCAGTCAGTGAAAACTTCTGGAACCAAAGATTCTTCGCTCGAGCGCATATTCCTTCACCCGAGCAAACAAACAACTTCGACTGGATGATATAATTAAGATCAAGACCACAAACTCCTCTACTTTGCATAGACACAATTCGGATTGGATTCGCATCTAAATACTCATAGCCTCACTGAAATAAAAGAATGAATAAAATTACAACTGGAAAGAGTTTTGTCAAACGGGATTGGCAATAACAAAAACCCAACAACATGTATAAAAAATATTATGCAAAATAGTGTTATATATTATATGCATACGTTTGATAATTGATTAAAATTGTTCTTCAATTAACAAGCAAGTAAAACTGACTAAACTGCGGTTTGATTATTGATAATAAATTTGTCATTATCCACAATTTAATAATAATTTTTTTTTTTGGACGTTTTGAAAATTCAAATAATTCTTCTCTTAAATATTTGAGTATAGGTTATTATTGAAAAAAATCATATTAGTAAAGTGACTGGGATAGAATTGTTAAAACTTTAATTCCAAAATAATTTACACTTTTTAAAACTAAAAAATAGTTTTCGTGTAAATAAATTTATTTTTCATTTTTCATATCCTAAAAACTAAAAAATAAAGATTTTTTTTAAATAAAAAATTATTCTACTAAAATAAACAAAGCGTTAGTAGTGTTGGAGAGTCGAGTATGCACACAGTGCAACAACAAGAAAAAAAGTGAAAGCAACTAATTACTGTAGAATTAGGAACTAAGTAAAAAAAAGTAGTTGTTCAAACAGATTTGAGTAGGGGTGGGCGCGGATCGGTTGCGGCCACGAAACCTCCAATTCGCCATCCGTCCGCTAAATTGGCGGATTGGTGAAAATCAATCCGCATCCGTCCGCCAATCCAGCGGATGCGGATTTGGCGGATTGGCGGATGGATGCGAATCGGTTTGGCGGTTTGAAAATTTACAAATTTTCAACATACAAAAAAAAAAAACCCAGGAAAAAATTCAATTGTCTGAATGTGATGTGCCTGCCTGGGATTAAAGGGAATTGCATATATTTTACAAATGATTTGTGTTGTTGTACAAACAGGTACATTAAAAGTTCAGGATATGACACGGGTGTGTTCAACTTGGAGGACTCAACCATTGAGCCACTTTACCCAACAAACATTGCATCAACAAAGCTTCCCCTTCCTGCTGTTTGGGTTACTTACTCCAATTCCTTGGTGAGACCATGAGATTAGCCGCATGGCATGGCACGGTGAAAGAGATCACAGAACCTTTTATCTTTGTTCTATGAAAATAACCCATATGTTCAAAGTATTTTACTCTAGCAGTTTCTATCTTTTGTATTTTATGTAAATTTGATATTCATTATTAGGCATTTTATTAGAATACAAGGAATTTTCAATAAATTCAAGTTTGCTGTAGAATGCTTTTGTTTAAAGGAATGGAAAGAAGTTGGGGCCGTTTTGAGCAAGGTGCTATTAATATTATTTCAAATTATATTTTTAGTCTCTAATGCAGCAAATCTGCCATTCATCTTCACATGTGATGTGAGACCAGAAAACATTGCACAAACATACATAAATTTGATAGGTCTAAAACTGCAAATTGAATCTTGAAAAAGAAGAAGATATCCAATACCATTCACTAAATAATAAGCAAAGGGTAATATTATTGAACTCCACATTTATTTTATTTTATATGTCATCTTGCCACTAGTGTAACATATAACAGTTACCACAAGTGCTCTCCAATTCTCTCCCACCTACAATATCTAATGTTGCTTCTTTTTCTTCTCCAAATAAAAGTGATTCTGTTGGAAATTCAAGACTGCCCAAACCAAGTGCCAAAAACCAATCTCTGGCCAAAGTGCATATATTATCTAAGAAAATTATTCTCAAATGCACCAGAAAAAGAAGGGAAAAAAAAAGTTTATTTATCTATTCACAAGAGATGTCAATAACAGAACATGAGCAAAACAAAAATCCATTGCTCACAAAAATAAAACCATAAGCACAAAGAAAACTTCAACAATTCCAAAAAAGCATCAACTTAACAAACCTCATATGACATGTTATCAATTTCCATTAGCTTCTCCTGGGCATCCAAAGTTCAATGTTCTAGTAT